AGGTCTTTTCCCATGTAAGATTCAGAGTATCTTGGTGATGTTTCCGCGAGGTCCCCCTCGCCATCCTCAGGCTGAAGTCCTTCCGTTTGGTGTGTTCGGATTTTAAGTGACAGTTTGTGTTGACCTTGTTTTGGACCGAGTCAAAAGCTCTTCCTGGGAGAACTTTTTTTTTTTTCTCCTCCAGCCTGAAGGTTGAGTTGGAGATAATAAAGGGATTCTTCTGGCTTCTCTGACTGGGGTGGCTTTGGTGCCACGCCCTTTCTGGGTCATCGCAAGCAGCATTTAAGATAGTTGGACTATAATACATACGGTGACGACGAAACAGAGAGTGATGATTGCCGCGACGATAATATTTTCTCTCGACCACCCAGCTTTTTTGGCCATTTTGCGAGCGTTGCGGTTCTCCGCCACGAAAACCTGGACGATGGCGTCCCTCAGGTTGGGCTCCAAATACAGCCGGTTGACGTAGTGCCGCCCGCCGTTCTCGATGACGGTTCTCCTCACTATCGCCATCAACTCGGAGACCTGCCTTGCCCGCTCGGCGCCCACTGCCCCGTTGTTGAAACCGCAGAAGCGGTGCCCGCACCGCCCGATCAGTTCCTGCAGGTCCCGGTTGTCGGTGTTGCGGACGTACTCCTGCAGGGGGGTCCCTCCCAGATTCTCCACGCAGGTGAAGAGGACGACGGTGTGCCGGGCGGATTCGGGCCCAAAGATATCCCAGACGCACTTGGCGGCGACGGCGTCTTTGGCAGGGAAGTGTCCCACCCGGGTGACCAAGATCAGGGCGTGAGGGCCGGGCCGGGAGAGGTCGACGCAAGCCAGGATCTCCCGTCGCATGATCTCCGTGTAGTCATCGGTGTCCAACAGGCCGGGGGTGTCGACCACGTAGACCGCCGTGCCCTGCCAGCTTCCCTGCCCCCTCTGGCACCTCAGGGTGGTGGTCTTGGCTGACACGGTGGACTCAAACTCCTTCCGTCCGAGGATGGTGTTGCCCGTGGCGCTTTTCCCACCGCCCGACTTTCCGACCAGGATGAGCCGGAGTTCGGCATCGTCCCCTGGGAGTTGGAAGAGACAGGGAGACGGCGTTAGGGGGCGGAGTGTAGTTACACCGCTGGAGTGGAATTCAGGGCATGGATTCAGTGGTTGACAGAGAGAGTGGAGGGGGGGATGGAGGGAGTGAAGGAGAGAGAGAAAGAGAGAGAGAAAGATGGATAGATAGCCAGAGAGGGAGATAATAGAAATAGAGATAGGTGGATGGGTGGGGGATAGACACAGATGGAGGATAGGATACATAACTATAGATGGATGGATGGACAGATAGAGAGAGAGAG